CGAAAGTAATCTGGCAGTGGCCATATATGACTGGCGAGAAATATGACTGACTAGCCACAAACAAGTCAGATTGACAGATCACTCCAGCGAATTTTCCTGCCTAGCCTCTAACATCTTTGAGTGGGTTAGCGCTTTGACTGAGTGCGTCGCACCATGACTGAGAGGCTGAGCAACTAGACCGTGATGGTTACTAAGACCCATGCAATGATGAAGATCTGTCCCTGGCAATCCACAGGTTTTTGGGTGAAAATCCGTCTGTCACAGGTTCTCATTCGTTCCTTGGCGTTTGTAGGTGCCGTTTGTGTCGGCTCGCGATATAAATCAGCTGTATTCGCCAGGACCTAATCGGAGGGGTATTGGGAATTCTCACGGGGTATTCTCAGGAACAGAGACTCCAATTGAGTTTATCGGTGATGTGAGTAATTCGACTACTCTGAGGAGGCGCCTCTCTCCCGCTGCAGCCGCTCAATTTTTGCTTCATTTGCAATGGCGTCAAATAGATATTTGCTGAACCACCGGGTTTGTGTACGCCGTGCCCGGAATATCTTGCCGCGAACACACCGAAGAAAAGCTTATGACATATGTGCGAGTGCGGGCTCCCAGAGAATGCATCGTCAAATCGTCTGTGCTGCAGGGGAGGAGACCAGAAGCCGAGCAAACGCCGTAGGCGAGTGACCACCCAGGATGTTACGTCTGCACAGCCACTCGAGGGGCCTTTGACGTCCTAATTTGGACTAAAAGCTCCAGTGAGAAGTGGATATACGTACAAAAAGAGGCATAGTGAAAGAGGCAGCGGGGTTTCTTTCCATTCTCATGTTGGTGCCTTGCTTCGTGATACATACAGTTTTCCCCCGGCACAAGAACGGCAACTAGATCATCACGCACGTAGAGTCGTGGACCTAAGAACCAGACACAGGCGTGGAATACTGACGGGAAATTTTTTATAACTAAAACTAAGAAAGCGGCAGATTCGCGAAATGTTCACTTGGTTGGATATCTGCAAGATTGACTTTGAGCCAAGCAGACCCGGGCCGTCCCACAGTCGGCTCGAATCAGAGCGCCTTCTCGGAGCAGAGGGTAACAGCCCCTCGCAAACAAGCAGCCATTTTCAGCTGTTGGCCAGGAACGAGAGCCCGTTGCTACTCCATTGCACCCACACAAGACGCCCCTGTCTCGCCTCCACCAGTTCCGACAGGGTCATCTTGATTGACAGGTACATGGGTGAGTGGTTGATGAAAATTTGGCCCATAATTTATTGATCCTTGCAACTGGCTGGAAATCTGGCCTTGTCTCTCTCGCTCGTAGTCTCGAATGATGCGGCGCTGGGTGTCTATGAGCTCCTGTAAAACGGCGCATTTGTTGATTTCTCCGTCTCTCTCCCTCTCCACGTAAAATACGACGCTGCGTAGCTGCTGTAACTCAGAACGAAGCGAATCAGCCTCTTGTTTGTGGGTTTCGGCTAGTTGTCGTTGGGTCTCTGCGTACAGCCGCAACTGTTGGATTTGCCCTTGGCTCTGCACAATCGCGGTGGCGCAGACTTGGAAAACCTGAGAGCCTGTGTGAGGCTGGCTTTGACTTGTAGACATTGTGACGTTTCGTTGTTTATCTGGTTCTTCGAAGTGATTCTTCGTCGATATGGCCTAGTATTTATGTC